TTATTATTATGATTGGATGAGTGAGATGGGAGCCATGTGGCGTGTCCCTTTTCCCCATGATCTTTCCTTGACTCAGCGTGATTCAGAACAACGACATTTCATATTATATACAAACGGACTTATTTCTGTCATATCATGTGTGAGTGTGACTGATTTGAAATTGAGACTCTTTTGTTCCTGGCCATGTAAATAAAACTTTATGAAATTTTAAACTTATACGCATGAACTACCACCTTCTTGATCAAATTATCTACATATACTCATATATTGTATGTATTCACTTGAATACTCTGCCAAAATGTGCACGGAATATTCTTTTATCTTCATATCACCGCTTATTATTAATTAACAGAAAAGTACAATAGTTGTGCATGTAGACTTTGGTAAGAAATGAAGAGTTGAGTAAAAAGTTGCGTAGAAAAGTATGCAGTCAAATAAAGAAGAAGAAAAAGAGTTAGTTTTTCTAGCTAAGACATGGCTGAGCAAATTTCGCACAGCATATGGATATATGTATATGTCAAGTACAGAAGAAGAATAGGACTAACCAAGAATGAGAGCTGCAGTGATCCAGCCACCGGTTTTAGATTTGTCGGCAGGTCGGCCGCTGTAGTCTACCGCATCAGCCACCATCCAACTCCCTTTGTTCTCCTGAAAACCACCACATCAGTCCACTGTTCCCCAATCTTATACACATTAATTTACACATGAGGAGGAAAAGATTAGTTATTGAAACCATTTTTCTTCTATTTCTCCAAGTATTGCCTTGATGAGAATAGTCTAAATTTCTGCCAAGTGTCTGCTCTTTGAAAAGTTGTAATCCACAGATGCAAAGAATGATGGAGAGGAGATTGCCTTTTTATAGCCTCAAAATAATTGAAAAAGAGAGGTTGAGAGCTCGCGCCGACCTTCCACTATATGTGATTTGAAACAAATCACGAACTTATGAGTCTTGGAGATAGGTTCATCACACCTTTTCCCAACGTTCTACCACTTTTTTACTTATATTTTGAAAATTTCGTTTGGCATTTTCACATTTTTCGATTTGTTTGTAATTTTTACCCTACCATGATAACTTATTATTTCCTTGACTAAAGAACACTATT